CTCGGAAGGATGGAAGGCTGAGTCAACCCTGAGCCGGTGAGATTTGAACAGCCGAACTGCAAAACTGCAGTCAGCTGAAGTAGCCTGCAGTGCTGTATTTAACCACTGCGCCACCTCGGCTCTTTTCGCCTTAGGGTGCTCACAAAACTGAAATAAAGCATCTTTAAATACACCTACAAAAAACAAATCCTCAAAATCAGTTTTCTCTCTGGATAGTAAAACAACAGTTTAAGAAAAAGCCCAGGTTCCTTTCCATTGTAACTTCTCTACTTTTAAATTTTTTTTGATTTACATTTCAAATCACGAAATGGAGGATGGATTGTCCTGAAACTGTTCCGAATACCAATTCCAAAACTGGAAGTGCTCCTATAAACTTTTTTTTTTAAAGGGGAGAGGAGATAAAGTCACTATCAGCTTCTCATTTCTGCAGCTGACTAAAGGCCAATGTACAATCCCTCATTTGCAAGATTTTCCAAGAATACTTTCCAAATACTTATATACGGCAAAGGATTCTTAGAAGATTTTAACATAGGCCTGATGTCATTGCCCTGCCTGGGCTCCATAGAAATTAAGGCATTCTGCTGTTGCAGCTGTCCTATCGTGAGGGTAGCTTTTTCTTTTGTTCCTCTCCCTGAACAACCTGTCTGCTCAATTTCTGACCAAAAAAAAAAAAACCTGAAAGGGAACAGCATCGTTCAAACACTGACGTCTCTAATACACTCTCCATTATGCAAGTCCACCCCCCAAACACAATTTTACCCCAGACTCATTATGCACTCAAGAATTAAAACCACAATCAATTTTTCTTTTATTGAAGGCTGGCAGATGGAGTGAGACAGTGGCTACAAATGGTGTAAACCTCCAGATGTGCCAGAGAATAGGTCTCATCACTCACTCTCTCATACGTGCGTAGCCAATCATTTGAGTCGTCATCCAGCACATTGGGAAAGGCTGGTCTCAACCAGCAAACCAGTAAGCACATGTAGAGCTGTGCTGAATGGCTTTCCTGGGAGAACTATTAACTCAAAGGTCAGGGTAAAATGAAAATGGGGCCCAGAAGGTTGGTTCCTTCCTCACACATATGTGCTAACCGTTCCTGACTCTAGGGGGCGGTGCTCATATCCGTTTCAAAGCCAAAGAGCCAGCGGTGTCCGAAGACATTTCCGGGTTCATATGGCCTTCATGACTAAACGCACGGAACGCTGTTACCTTCCCACCAAGGTGGTTCCTATTTTTCTACTTGCATTTTTCTGAGCTTTCAAACTGCTAGGTTGGCAGAAGCTAGGACAAGAAATGGGAGCGCACTCCGTTACGCGGCACTAGGGATTCAAACCGCCAAATTTCTGATCTTTCTGATCGACAAGCTCAGCGTTTTAGCACTGAGCCACTGGGTCCCTTCAAGCCACTGAGCCACCAATTAACCCAATTGGGCCTGGAAATAGCCCAACTGGGTTAGCTGTTTTGGCTGCCACCTATTTTCAGAAACTTTGTAATGGTTCTCTGAGTGATTGCCACATCTTCTCTACTGCAGCAATACTCATGTCATCACATGCAGCCTCCTTTCAAGAGAATTGATTCAAAGGTGTTTTTTTCAAAAAGCAACTGGATTGTTTTTTTTTCCCTTGAGGAAGAAAAAGAAGGCATTTTGCTTCTCATTCAAGAACTGATGAAGTTCTGAATCAATGACCTGAGCTGATGAAGTAGAAGTGAAACATCTCCTCCCCCCCCCCACTTCTTCAAGGAAGAAACAGTCCAGTTGCCTTTTGAAAAAGCACCTTTGAGTCAACTATCACCTGGATGACTAAGAATCTCTCTTCTCAGACATTTCAAGAGAGGTTCTAGGGGAAAACATTTCAGTGATCTTACCCATGTTTTTCCCTCAGATACTCAATCAAGACAACATTATGTATAGATCATGGTTGTCAACCTTGGCAATTTTAAGAAACATGGACTTCAACCCCCAGAATTGAAAAAAAACAGGCTCAGGGCTGAGATGAACCAAGTCTGGAATTGAAATGGATCCTTGGCAAATGACAAGTGGAATTTGGCTAACAACAGCAATGGGGAGTGCCAGGATTGCTATCACTAATCAGTGCAATCACATGAAGTCATGCTTTATGACCACATTGTTCAGCGACAGAAATTCCGGTCTGATTATAACTCAAAGACTATCTGTATTTATCCTTGCCCTCAAAGGCAGAAGAAGGTTAAAACACATGTGCTGAAGAGGAGTTGAAAGATCTTACTTTGCTGTCATTTCCTCATCGTATTTTGTCTTCAGGTCAAATAATTCTGTCTGTTTTTTTTCCAAGGCTAAAGGATGGAGAAGAAAAAAAAGAAATGTTTTTTTTTTAAAAAGCAGCAGCAGCAGCTACTCAATTACTACTGAGCTATGAACTGTTCTCTTTCTGAAAAGTCATCTACGTACATTAAGCCTTCTCCCGAACCAAACAAAATCACATTGCAGAAAAACAATGCTTAAAAGCATTTTTGAATTCTTTTCTTTAGAAAATATACAGAGACGCACAAAGAACCAAAAAACGATCGCCATTCTTTTTCATGAATGGTGAAAAGTTTCTAGATTTTTCTTCTGCTTCATCTAGTGAAGTTGTATGCCGTTTATAGACCAGCTCTCGTGACTTGAGCCCCTTGTTCAGAGTTATCTAGGGGGCTGTTTCAATTTCAAGTTGGAAGGAAATGGGGACAGAAGCGGAGTTCTGGTAGGCGAGCATAAGGTGATAAGCTAGAAACAAGCCCTGATAGGAAAGGATGAGCAGGAGAAAAGGCATTCATTTTTTGGGGGAATGAAAAAAATCTTTCTACGGCGTCTACTCAGGGCAAAGTTAGATAACTTTTTCACCTCACTCCAAGGTCTCTGTGATCCCGAGATGAGACAGATACTGTTAAAGGCATCTCTTCTCTCACCTGAAGCCATTAATGGCTCCAAGGATCTCAAGTGCTCACCTGAGATTACAACATTCGGCTGTCAGTCCTGACCACCATTACATTACTGAGAAATTTATACTTGCTGCTACTGAATGGACATTCACACATTATATTTTTGCTGATGTGGGTGTTTTGGCCTGCCGGCAGCCAGTAAAACTGGCAACAGAGTCGGACAGTGTGGAGGTTGAGGAGGAACATAGGCCAGTCCTGGGGGTTGAGGAAAGCTCAGACGAGGGCTCTGTGTTGGAGGCAGAGAGGGAGGTAGCAGCAGTGAGGCAGAGGAACAGCTGGAGCCTGTTCCCAGTGTGCGCACGTGCAGCTGCCAGAAGCAAGAACTAAGAAAGCAGGGTCGACTTAGAAGTAAAGCCACATCTTGGAGGTGAATGGCCCCTCCCATAGGACCGAACAGGGAGGGGGCTTTTGCAGGAAACCATTCATTCGGTCTCTTCAAGAGTGGAAAGTTCTGTTTGTGACTATAAGAGACTCTGGGCCAAGTTTTGCCTTGCCCTGCATTTGGAAACTAGTTATTTGGCAGCTCTCCAAACGAGATAAGGTTTGTGTTGATAAACATTCTGCCAATTACATCCCTGCGACCAATAAGATCACATAGATTAGGCCTCCTCCGTATACCATCGGCCAGCCAGTGTCGGCTGGCAACTACAAGGAGGAGGGCCTTCTCAGTAGTAGCCCCGACCCTTTGGAACGAGCTCCCCGTAGAGATTCGCACCCTCGCCACCGTCCAGGCCTTCCGCACAGCCTTGAAGAACTGGCTCGCCCGTCAGGCCTGGGGACAAGGATAGTTCCCCTCCCGAATGATGAATGTATGTTGTTTATTATTTTATTATATGTCTTATCTTAATGTCTGTATCTCCCCTTCCCCGATTTTATGTGAGCCGCCCTGAGTCCCCTCAGGGAAAAGGGCGGCCTACAAATATTAATAAAATCTCAAAAAAATCTCAAATCTCAAAAAACATTCCTCTAAAAGACTGTTTGCTAAGCCTTGCTGACTGTGAATGAACGGAATTAAATAAATAAAAGGGGTTTTGCCGGGACTAAGACCCTGCTTCTTGCTTTTCAAGGAAGCTTGGGCCAGAACAGTGGATATCATTTCCTTATATTATATTCTTTCCATATATCGGATGCAAGACACAAAAACACATTGCTGTAACACATTCATCTTTGGCCCTAAAAGCATCCACAAATCAGCATAAAGATTTTGGTTGGGAATGCAGAAAAAAGAATGACTTCCACTCTGCAAAAAGATAGGTCAAGTTGTTTCAACAACATTTATGACCTAGACCAGGGATGTCAAACCCACGTCACGGCAGTGTCACATGATGTTTTTGGGACTTCTTTCCCGGGACTAAACCAGGCATGGGCATTAGTATGGCCACACGTGACGCATTCGGCCCATGGGCTGGGAGTTTGACAGCTCTGGCCTAAACCTTTGAAGTACTTTCATGCCATCAAATCAGTGGTCTGCACCAGCTACTTAAAATGTTTTCTTGTTCACATGCAGTGGCTAGAAATGTTGATGAGCATCCGTGCTAAGGTTTACAGCAGTGTCTCTTCAAACTTGGCAACTTGAAGATGAGCAGACTTCAATTCCCAGAATTCCCTAGCCAGTTTGCTGTGGAATAGTTCTTAACAGTTCTTACGTCACGCCTAAAAGATAAGCAATGTGCTGTGGGTCCAAATGCTCTCATTCCCAATTTCTCATTTGAATTCTTGTTCTTAGATTTTAATAAGAATGATTTTAGAATACGGCATTTACCTCATTTTTTAACCTTTAATGAACATTGATCAACCAGTTTCTATACCAGTTTCAAAATGTATTAGCATTATGGACAGTGATGTTTGCCAATTTAACAACCGGTTGCGCTGAAAATGGAGCATTTAGAAACTCAGTTGCTTACCGTCCAAGTAAGCAAAGGTAAGAAAAACAGCTGGGGGTGGGGGGAGAATCAACTGTGCTGCACAATTGAGATGAGCTAGAAAGCAAGAAATCAAGGACAGGATAAAGCAGGGGTGGGTGGGGCCAGCTGATCGTCGGAGCTACCAGTTCGCCTGAACCGGTCCGAACTGGCTGAATACCATCTCTGATTATGGATGCTCCAGGCTGAAAAGTTGAAGGCAGTCCTTGCCTGGATGAATTTCCAAGCCTACCCACTCCCTTATTTTTCTCCATCGTTATCAGTCACAGAAAAGGGAAACCAGCCAACCTGTTTGTAACGTCTGAAGTTTGTGTTCGGTTTCCTCCAGCTTTGAGGCCGTTGACATTTGCGTCTCTTGTAACATTCTGTAAACAGAGAACTACATTAACACCAAGAAACTGAAAATATGCTCAATCCTTGTAGGATACATTGCTGTGTGAGTGGGCATGTTTAGAATAAATAATAAACACAGTTTCATACATGGAGGTACCAGAAAGGAATCCTCCTGCTGTGGGAACATAGAGAACTTAGTTCAGGGTGACAAACTCGTGGCCCGCGGCCCGAATGTGTCATGCGCTGGCCACACCTATCCCTGGTTTAGCAAAGGGGAAAAAAGTTGTGATATGTCATGGGATGACGTGTTGTCGAATGTTTGATACCTGTGCTTAGTTGGAAGAAGATAACCTTTGGATGAAATTTAGGAATATGAATGCATTAGGTGACATGATTTTTTGCTTTCTAATAACAAGCTATCTTCTCTGAGTACACCTTACAATGTTCTCTTGGAGCAGCGATGAGCGTTTGGGTTAAATGGATGCTGTACAGAAAAATAGGTGATGGCCTTTCAGCCCATATAGTCATCACTGCTTCATTCAGGCCATCATGAAAGCCTACTCCAGCATATTTTCTCACGGCTTCTATAAAAGACTCTCGTGATAAATCCTTGTGGAAGAAGGGACAAAAAGTCCACAGAAATAGCCCATGGGTAAGAGAGGAAAGGACGCACAACCTGAGACATAATGTCTTCCAATGCTTTGGCTACTCTCTCAGAGCACCTCTTTGAAATTTTAATTTTTAATAAGGCAGAATGGGAAAATTGCAACATTCATGTACTTATGTTAAATTGTACTTCATTGTGCCCCACCAAAAGTTTAAGTAACGTTCAGTTTTCGTCCCCATTCTGCCCACTTCTTTGTTCTGGCATTGGGCATTCAGCCTTTAGCATGCCAGTCAGTGCAATGAGCCCTGCATCTGAAAAAGTTGCACTGATCTATACTGGAGAGTTCTTCTCTTTTTAAAATTGGGTTGCTGTGAACAACCAAAAGTAGAGCCAGTTCAGGGGCATTGTTCGCACTTTAGCTCAAGCTTTCAAAATGTTCCACCAGATTTACTGTGTAGAAATTCCACATCATTTGGCATTTATTATGAGGCCATCTCAATGTGCCACCCATCTCTCACAGGAGTTCAACATGAAACCTTAATGGCCAAGCAATTAAGTGGGAGAAGCTGGTTGCCTAGATAGGCACAGAGGCCATCACATAAAAGCAGGATTCAGCTTACTTGTAGTTCAGGGTAACAGAGTTAATTTGACAAACATTTATATCGTGATACTGAACTACAGCCAGCCAATTTACAAACTTTTAAACCAAAGTTCCGGGATCCTCACTCAGGGCATGAAGATAAAATAGGGACGGGGCAGATTTAGAATATATTTCCAGAAATTATATGTTTCCCAACATATTCAAACTTCAGTTTTAAAAATGTGGTAATTTACCAAAAGTTTTCAAATGTAATATAATTGTTTGCTGGTTGATTATTTACTTATGTATTTGACTTATGGGTTGCCTGATTCCATCTTAACTCTGGGCTTCTGCTGCCTAGTCAAACTGTGCGTTTTATTCATATCTAGGAGTGTTTCTATCAAATGCTCAGAATATTCAAAAGTTGTCAAATATGCTACATATAGTAATTATAATAATCACATTGGCAACAATAATATTAGATGGAGATATACATACTGATTTCACACTCTATTTGAGATGCTAAAGTCAGACTCAGATTTTTAAAAAAAGGATAGGGGGAAGGGGTAGAAAGGACCAGAGTGGGTGGGTGTATTTTAATCCATTGCCAGCTGGTGCCATGCCACCAAGCAACAGCCGCTGTTATTCGCATGCACACGTATGTTGTCGTACCTTTCTTTCTCAGCAAAGTCATTTTGCAACTTTTGTTCTTTTTCAAGAGCAATGTTCTCGGCTTGATTCTTCAGGGTCTGCTCATATTCCCGAATTTTCTCTTTAAGTGCTTTTATTGTCACCTCTTTTGGGAGGGGGGAGAGAGAGGGGGGAGGAGGGAAAGCCAACAAGATAAAATGAGTAATAAGCCACCACACCTGGGAGCGCAGCAGACTTCCCCCTGCCTTGCAGCAAGAGCAGCAGCAGCAGCAGGGCTTAAAACTTTAGCTCTTCAACCCTGACACAAAATCAATGGCTATGAGTCCCTTTGGAGATTTTTATTCCCTAAATGCTAAATTGAACTTTAAATGTTTAAGGTTTGAGCAGGATCAATGGACTTTGTCAGGAAGCATAGCACACGCTTTTCTAATGCGAGCGCACAGAAAAATGAAACAGCAGCGATACCTTGTAATATTTACCAATGACTGTAAACGGGACTGGATTTTCAGCCATAAGCTGCTACGATTGTAAATCGAGGCATCTGTATGACCAGACTCAATTTTACGATTATTTTTTTTTGTGGTAGTGAAGTGAATCACTTTGGTCATTAAGTGAATGCCACACTTCTGCGAACCTAATCTTCCAAATGAGTGGGGGGGGTGGGGTTTGTCAGAATGGGTGTAAGAATGGTTGATGGGCACCTCCCTCTGTTCCATTTCTTTTCTAAGGGAAAATCCACCAAACAGAAGGGCAGATTTTCTTGTTCCGGGCAAACCATTATATTATTTCCTTTACTCGGCCTAGCTTTTATCAGCAACTGAAGAATTCTTTATTTGGACAGGCAGTTACAAATCTACACTGCTCAAACTATGGCTTTTTTTAGCTAAACCTTGCTAATTATTATGTGTGATGGGAAGGATGTGGAATGTTAAAACACAAACACACATAATTTATTGGGGAGGGGTTACTCCCATTATTTCTGATGTTATAAAGCTGCATTCCTTGCCAGAGAGAAAAAAAAAACGAATAAGGAAATGCTTTGAAGTAGACTCTTTTATTTTTGATAGCTGATCGCAGAATTAAAAGTTTAAAATTGTTACTCAATTTTGCAGTCTTAAGCCTGCGGATACTAAAATAATTTGCCCACTGTCATAATGACCAGAACTGGACAGTTTTCGGGCAACCCCAGGCCTACTGGGGGAATGTTTTTTCTCCCCCCTGGAACGAGTTTTCTTCTCATTGCTGGTTCAGGATATGGCTTACTGCAAAATACTGTACATGTGGCTCATCAGTTCCCCTTCAGCCTCCTCCTCCTCCTCCAACAAAACCTGGAGTGATTTGGGGAGATGAGTGCTTATTCTACGAGATAATGGCCTTTCTATGTACAGCAGACACCTTCAACAGTTTGCCCATCCACTTAAATAAGTAACCTACATTACTTCACTATCTGCATTCTGCCCTAGGGATAAACAAACTGTAACTACAGTGAAGGTTGCAAGAGGTAGCATCACAAGATTATTCTGGAGAGAAAATGGTGCATCACTTAGCTTTTGTTGTGAACAACACATATTTTGTACTTAAGGAAGTTGCTGGAATCATAAGGTATAAATTAATGCACTAAATTTGTCTGAATATTGGCTTCCAGAATGTTTTTTTTTAAGCAGAACAAATGATCAGCTATTTTTTTAAAGTACATTTTAATTCTGATTATGAAACAGATTTAAATGGAGGTCAAACTCTGAATCTAAACAAAATGGGGGCTAAAGCATTACCAAACTGGAATCTCAACTTCACCCAATAACTAAGCCTGCCCCTATTTTCCTTCCCTCTGACAAACTCCTTTTTAGACATCGCTTCCTGGTCAGGATCCTTGAGAATGTTGGGTTTTAGTTGCTCTTTGCTAAATATTATTCTAATTAGCTGCGGTGGCGCAGGGGTTAGAGTGCAGTACTGCAGGCTACTTCTGCTGCTTGCCAGCTGCCAACAGTTTGGCAGATCGAATCTCACCAGGCTGAAGGTTGACTTAGCCTTCCATCCTTCCGGGGTCGGTAAAATGAGGACCCAGATTGTTGGAGGCAATAGGCTGACTCTGTAAACCGCTTAGATAGGGCTGTAAACCACTGCGAAGTGGTATATAAGTCTAAGTGCTATTGCTATATGATGTGACTCTTCATGAGCCACGGTGGCACAGTGTTAGGGTGCAGTACTGCAGGCTATTCCTGCTGACTGTTGCCTGCCTGCAATTTGGCAGTTGAAATCCCACCAGGCTCAAGGTTGATTCAGCCTTCCATCCTTCCCAGGTGGGTAAAAGGAGGACCCAGATTGTTGGGGGCAATAGGCTGACTCTGTAAACCCCTTAGAGAGGGCTGTAAAACACTACAAAGCGGTGAATAAGTTTAGGTGCTATTGCTATTGTTATTAAAACTAGTTAACAATTAGAAGATTTACGAACAATATGCTCTTGAAATGGAGGAAAGCTTTGGGGCTTGCACCTAATTTGAAAGAGTCTTCCCTGATGCACAATTTAGCTTACCTTGATTTTTCACTTCCGTAAATTCTTTGTTGTATTCCTCAAGGGTTTCCCTAAGTTTCTGGTTCTCAGTTTCAATATCGTGCATGCGCTGGACTTTCAACTGGAGCTGCTGCCCCAGATCTAGAGCTGAAACAGGATCTAAAGAGGAGAAATGCAAAGTTGGGATTGATTTTATTTTCCAGGAAAGCCAAGTTTATTGGTGAAGCTGCACTTGTTAAAAGCAAATGGTAAGTACTTTGGCAAAGGGAAACATGAGGCTAGGCATACGCACCCGGAAATGCACACAAATGAAAACACAAATTATGTTTTTATATTGTCAAACCACATTCCCTCCAGCAAAGCCAATCTTTTGAGATAGAGTTGCAAATCTTCTACATTTTTTAACAAAAACAGAAAAGCACAAACTCTCCCAAAACTAGTAGTGATGTACTAAGATCTCTAAATGTTACACTTTCGTAACTGGCTGTGTAGTTCTGCGGTACAGAAGCAGACAAATGGTTGCCCTTCCAACCTCACCTGGCTTGCCTCCAAATTCAGGGATTGTGGGAGCTGCAATTCAGCAATGCCTGGGAGGATCATAGATGCTTTAGAGCAGTCTTAATGTGTGGTAAAGGTTCCCGCTGTCCGAAGACATCTCCGTGGTCATGTGGCCAGCATGATTAAACGCCGAAGGCGCACGGAACACTGTTACCTTCCCACCAAAGTGGTCCCTATTTTTCTACTTGCATTTTTACATGCTTTCGAACTGCTAGGTTGGCAGAAGCTGGGACAAGTAACAGGAGCTCATTCCATTACGCAGCACTCGGGATTCAAACCGCTGAACTGCCGATCTTCTGATCGACTAGCTCAGCATCTTAGCCGCTGAACCACCGCGTCCCTCTCAGCCTACCCAAGTTTTATTCCAAAGACCTCTATGGGGAAGGCTTGGCTGACTGGCTCCAGTTTACCCAATAAATTTCCCTTGCCAAAGGTTACTCGTACCAGGTGTCTCTTATTTCACTGCACCTCCATGATCCTCTTAACAGAATATTTTTCTTAATAGCTATAATATCTACCAAGCAGATATTAGGACTGCGGGAAGTTCTTCGGTTTCCAAGTTATGTATTTTCTACAATGTTCAGATTGTACTTAGATGTGACCTTTCTTTTATTCTGGAAAGCAAATTAAATTGTCTTGTTCATAGAGCCCAGGAATTTCCTTCATTCTGATCCTTCTTGATGTGATAGGATTATTTATACGTTGTCCTCGTTTAATGACAGTGACTTAGCAAACATTCAGAGTTACAGCAGACCTCTCCAGAACTATTTATGATTTGTTTTCAAAATTCTGACAGCTGCATACAACACCCCCCCTGCG